GACTTATTTCAACATCCAACAATTATTCATCATGCTCAACTCATTCAACAATCTATCAATAGCATCCACACTCTTGTTAATTATCCTTGGTCCTCATTACATATCGTTCTAGCTAGAGCATCATTTGCACAAGAACGGATCTATTTAGATGAACAAATTCGTTTTTCATCCAACAAAACAACGATGAATAATATGTATGTTATTCCATTACTTTATCGAATATCAGCTATGAATGATCTTGTATCCATTACTCGATTACAACATGCATTTCAAAGTGTTATTAGAAAACATAATATTCTTCGAACAGCACTTTATATTGATGATACAAATGGTAATATTATACAACACTGTTTAGATGCAGATATCTTTCTCAACGATGATATGAAATCATATGGACTGAAAATCGTTAATCTTCATAATGATGAGTATCGTCATATGAACGAAGTTATTGAAGAAATATTAAATCAATCTGATTTATTTGATTTATCAAAAGGACGTGTTATTAATTGTCATATCCTTCGTCGTGAACAATCAAATCATTCATTCACTCAGAATAATAATGATCTATTGACTAAAGACGATCTCATATTATTTACCATTCATCATGCTTGTTTAGATGGAGCATCAAGATCAATCTTCACTCGTGATCTTTCTCTTGCTTATCAATCTGATGGTTCACTACCTGTAGACGATAATTCATTACAATACATCGACTATTCTGTTCATGAACATATAATGGATATGTCATTGTCTCGTCAATTCTGGCATTCTCAACTTGAAAGATACAATATCGAATGTTCGTTATCATTACCAGTTGATCGACAACATTCATCAACTAGTCAACAACGATCAGGTGCAGCATCCATAGCTGAAATCAATTTTGATGATGAAATATGCACATCATTTCTAAATTATGCATCATCACATCATCTTACACTATTTCAACTTGGATTAGCAACATTTTATATATTTTTATTTAAATTAACTCATGGTCAAACTGATCTATGTATTAGTTCTATTAATGCTAATCGATATCGAAGTGAATTAGTGGATATGATTGGAATGTTTGTATCAACATTACCGTATCGTGTTGAACTTGATCCTCATTGGTCATTTGATGAAGTAGTTCAATATATGCAAGAAAAATGTTTATCAATTCTTGAACATTCTCATTATCCGTTACAACATATTCTTGGTGATAATCGAATTAATCAATCAAATGTATCATTTCTTGAAACAATGTTTGATTTTATCACTATATCAAATGAAGGTAACGACTTATGTTTGAATGGTGTCAATTTAGAACAAGTATCATTCAATGGATCATATGAAATGGCGAAATTTGACTTCTCATTAACATTTGAATACAACCCATTATCACATAATAAGAGATTATCATGTAGTTTTGTTTGTTCACATGATTTATTTGAAAAATCAACTGTTTCCAAAATAGCTCAAAGATTTCAATATATGTTTGAGCAACTGTTCGAAACACAATCAAGCAATACTCCTATCATCGATATGAGTCCATCGATTAACAAAGTGTGTCTTATTCTTCCTGATGAAGCTGAAGAAATGGAATCAGTCGTGTTTTATCGATTAGAGAATATTGTGAATGAAGGTATGATTGTATGCAGCTTATTCTTTTATTTTATGAAAGTGATAGTCAGTTAAACCAGTAATGAGAAATAGGCATTAAAGTGTATTCCAATGTATAGATATAGTATCTATAGTTTTTAAATAAATCCTAACGGAATAAATAATGAGAAAATAAGGATTTAAATGAGTTGTGAT